TGTCCGTCGGCAAACTTAAACTAGCGTTAACGTAGGTCGGGGTGTCGTGGGCACCCCGCCACCCCCTCCACCCTCGGATCTCTGCTACTCTCCGAATACGAAATTACGACGGCGTAAGTTTTCACGGAACAAAATACGTATAACAAATCTTCGGGTATCATTTTTCGCGAAGCTCTTATCGCAGATTGCATCCGTGCGTCGCGGGCGTAGGGCGAAAGATTTCAAGCTAACGAAATATTCTGCCTTCCGATAAGGCGAAAATGCCATAACGGACATTATCATTATCGCTGAAAGCTGTCATGTTCAGCTGAGAGGCAGAGGACAGGCGACAGATTGTTATCGCGGATTGTAATAGGTTCGTTCTCTCTTCAACTGCCACTTTTCGCACTTGTCTACATCCTCTCTTCTCTCTCAATTTTCCCCCCCCCCTCTCATTTTTCTTCGCCAAGCGTGAACTACAACGCGCCGTTTCACTTAGAAGGCGAAGAGTCTAATAAAGTGCAGCCGGGAAAGAACGGACCTAATGCGAAGAGGTGTCGGGTCGGGGGAATTCAAAGCTCTCGTGCGGTGCGACCGGAACTGTAATTGCAGTTTGACATCGCGCGAAATGTTACGTCCGCCCGATTCGATCTTCGCCTTGCGACTTCTCTCCGAGAAGTACGGTCCTCATACCCGTAGATTTAAATTCAATTTACTTCTTCTGGCTATAGCGCTGGCACGTTTTCAATAATGAGGAAAAAATTTTTCTCGATAAATCGAGAGGAATGAAAGCGAACGATTGATACGCGTTGTAAGTACACGCGTAATTATCATCCCTTTTCCAGCGTCAGAGAAGAACTTGATGTCAGGAGTCGTAATGTGATATTGCGTTCGCTTCGTCGAGGCATCGAAAGCGCCTCGATAAAATCGGCGATGTTCGTTCGCGACACCGAGGCGGGGAGAGATGACATAACGGCGACGATGACACGTACGGCCGAGCGATAAGAGTGCTATAATAATCTTACGTAAAGCCGGAAGTGCATCGTCGGCGGTACCGATCGCGAGTCGCGTATCGCAAGTCGCGAATTGCAAGCGGAAGGCGCGTCTCCGCCCTCCGATAAATGCTGGAGTTAGTCGCGAATGTTCGGGAAATCATTTTCTTCTCGGGCACATTACACGCGATCGACTCATTTATGATATTCGGTATCACATTGAGATCGAAAATTATCGACATTTTATTAGCACTGTCTGGCTACAGCCGTATAATCTAAATCGCGTTTGCGGTTTTTTCTTTTTTTTTTTTTTTTACAAATTACATTAATAACATTCGTATCAACTTTTTAAGATCTCTGAAGCTTTTATCGCTGGTTTCATATTATCCATTTATGATAAGTGCAAAGTTACGGCTTAAATTGGAAATAAAGTCACTGTCCCGCGCGAGTGCGGACATAATTTTCAAGAAAATACGAGTCGCTATTCGCGTAATTAGCAACGAAATGTAAAATGCAGCAATTAAATTCAAATATTCTCGGTTGCGGAAAGAGAGAGAGAGAGAGGGAGAGAGAGAGAGAGAGAAAGCGAAATCGCCAATTATCTGTTACTTTATTAGCTCATACGTGCAGAAGCTCAAATTGTGTACACAATTTGCCCCTCCCCGCACCAACGAGCACGTATATACACGCACGCTTGAACAAACCCGTTGATCTCAAATACGTACACACGTATACGCGCGAATAGTCGCGGAAAAAAAGCGATTGTACGCGCGTTATCTTAGCGAAAAAAAAGAACGAAAAATCTTCCGCTTCCTCGTCGATCGTCAAGTTTTATTTTCGAATTCCCCGCATACTGAAAAACTCTCACGTATTCTACCTCACGTCAATAACGCGGAAAATCTCCGCGTACATTTTTATAGATAAACAATCGGCGCGGCTTCCTGCATCTGTGATCCCGACTTTCGATATTCGTTGATTGTATAATAGATTAGCGCAGTGTTGTTCCTCCTACGTTTTCCCTTTAATTTCTCTCTCTCTCTCTTCCTTTGTCGGTTTAAAATAAATTAAGCTGGGATTATGACGGACGGATATCGTGACGGAAACTTAGTTGCGAGTTTATATAGCAAAAGTTGGAATTGATTAAAGCAAGTCCAAGCAAGCGCAGGCGGCTATAATGCACGCTTTGTATTTGATTGTATGTACGTAATCTATGTATATAATCGATCCTCTTTTAACGTACTCTAAAAGATTCATGAATGTAAAGCTACAGCGTTACTTTCGCGCGAGTCGCTACATGAATGGATGATTATTTCCGAACAATTGGCAAATTCTTACTCTGGGTCAACGTTTCTCCTCTCGTTTCGGACGACGGAATACCACTGAAGGGCGAGGAAATTGCCATAGAAATAACCGCGTGTCTGTTTATTTTATTGCCATCGTCGAACGAATTTTCGAGAAATCGGAAAGTCCGTTCGCACCGTGAGCAAGTGAATTTGCAGAAAGGTCCACTTTACGCCGCGCGAATCTCGCGCGGCACACCTAAGGGACGTCGAAAGCACTGCTTCGAAAAACACTCTCCGTCCCGAGAGAAATTCTCGAACGCGGCCCCGCACTGTGCAAAAGCATCATCCCTCCCGACTCACCCTCCCTCCTCCCCCTCCGAACAACACGCAACACGCTCCGATTCCGAATCCGAGTTCCGAATTGAGTTCACCCCGGAGGACGACACGGCGGGCGCCCGCCCCGTAATCACGTTATTTAGGGTTCTTCACGGGCCGAGCCGAGCCGAGCGAGAGACGCGACGCGACTAGCCAGGGTAGTCCCGAGAAAGTAAACCACCCCGAGGAAAAGTAGGGTGGCTCGTCCGGCGGCGTGCTCGTTACGCCGTACCCGCCCAACGCGAGGGAGAGACCGATCTCTCCTCGACTCTCGGCGGCACCGCGAGAGAGAGATTCGCGATGCCGGCCGATAATCGGCGCGATAGCGATGGGACAACACGGGGCGGGATGGGAGAGATATAGAAGAGGAGAAGCAGAGAGAGGGAAAGAAAGAGAGTGAGAAAGAGAAAGAAAGATAGAGAGAAAGAGAGAGAGAGAGCTGCCACCTTCTACACCCCCGAGCTATACTCGCCCGTGTCGAGTGCGTCACGCATCCTCTCGGTATTCCTGGCGCGAGGCGGCGGAGGCTGCGACGATGCGCGAACGAGGCGAGGCGATGCGATGCGAGACGAGGCGAGGCGAGACAGGAGCCGATCCTCCCTCTCGAGAGTAAGCGAGCGAGCGAGCGACCACCCCTCGTCGCGGCGCGGTCGTGGCGGCTGTCACGGAGATCCTTCTCTCTCGCGAGTCGCGCGCGTTGCGAGAGTCCGCGACAAGCTCCGCTTCTCCGCCGTGCGTCTCGACCGGAGGGTGCGCACGGGATTGAGAGGACGAGGGCGAGGGAGAGGGGCGCGGAGGGGGTGGGGAAGGGCGAAAGGGTAGGCGGAGGGCGGGGGTGAGAGAAGGCGCTCTCGCACTCACATGTCTGTCGTGTGAAATCGGCGCGCGCGCGGCGTACCCCCGTATCACCGACGACGGGGTCCGCGCGAGGACGAGCACCGGCCCGGGACCACGGTCATCACGCTGACGACGACGACGACGACGACGGTGCTTGCGCTATCGCTGCTTCCTTCTCCTTCTAGTCTCGGCGCAGCTGCTTCGACGCCGGTGTTGGTTCAGTTATCAAGCGGCCTTGTCGCTTCTTCTCTGTCGCGTTACTCGCGCGCGATCGACGACGACGGCCGTACGACGACGTCGTCGTCGGTGCGACGATCTCGCGGTGCGCGTGTGGGGGGCCCCCCCTCGGTTAGACTGTCGCCGACCGACTGACGGACGCGTGAACGGTTACACGCATGGCTTAACGCGGCCCCGATACGGCTCGGGGCGGGATACGGACGCGCGCGTACTCGCGCCCGAACGTGCTCCGCGACGAGACGTGGAGGAAGAGGAGAGTCGGGAATAGGGGTGGCGAGATGGACAGGCGAACGCAAGGATGCGATCGAGTGAGAGAGATCGAGTTCCCGTTCGGAGGCTGTGATGCGAGGGCTGAGGGGGAGTAAGAGAAAGAGTGAGAGAGAGAGAGAAAGAGAAAAGTGGAAGGATATGAGCGAGACAGAGATCAGGGGGAGAAAGGAGAGGGCGCGCGTAAGAGGAGCCGCGTTAAACACGGAGGGATGCTCCACGCGTAAATCGCGAGCTAGCCGGTGGTGCTGGCGCGGGATCGGAGTAAAGACTGACTGCGATGGTAGTGGTGATGATAGTAGTGGTGATGCTGGTGGACCGAGAGAGCGCTTCTCGGACGAGGGAGGTAATTTAACCCCCGCTTTCTCCTTCCTTCTCTCTCTTTCTCTCTCTCTGCCCGATTTTGTTCGACTGATTTGGTCAAGGGATGCGAGCGAGGGAGAGGGAATCGAGATGAGGAGAGAGAAAACGGGAGAATTGACTAGAGAAACGAAGAAATGGTGATCGGAAGAAGCTGGGAAGAGAGAGAAAGAGCAAGATTAGAAATACAGGAGGGGAGCCTCGGAAAAAGAGGGAGGACAAGTTAGTGTGCGTGTATACGTGCATCCCGATGTGCGCTTGTGCAGCCACGCGAGCAACGGAGATGGGGAACGCGGGGCAAATAGAGAGAGGGAAACGACAAACGGCACTATACTCCGATAACATTCGCGCTGGGACCGCGAGGCGCACTAAGGGCGTGGGCAATCCGCGAGCAAGCCAGGCGAGCAAGTGAGCGAGCGAGCGAGCGTGCGGGACCGGTGCGAACGACGGCGGACTACATTGATTTTGATTTTCGAAGGCGCGCGCATTTGGTGCTCTCTCCGGATCTGCCCATTCATACCCGCTCCCGTCTGCCTGACTGCCGAGGACATTGGTCCTGTCCGCGTACGAATAGGGGACCGCGACGAGTTCGGAGTAACGTCGGGTGCAACTCTCAAGGATTTTAGGGCGTTTCAACCTGTTTTACGAACGCGAACGCGACCACAAACGCGCGTTCAAAAACTTGATTTATTTAGTCAAATATGATATGTGACATCAGCTGCATTGAAACAACGAGAAGTAATAATGTTATAATTTTTTTATTATATAAAAAAATTGTCCGTTCTTTTTATGAGAAGACTGATTGCGTTACAAACTCTTTTTTTTTTTTAATAAAAGAATACGCGAAGTTTACAGCTATAACAAAATATCTATTTAATGACTTGCTTCAAGCTGCCATCATTGTTATTTAAGAGGAGTAAGATTTGACGATACGTCGGTCATTCTCATATGGAAAGAACAGATTAAAAAAATCATCGATCCTTATCTCATGATTTATTAGACAGACACATCTAATAGGTAGAGACATACAAGTCACTTGTAATGTTCGCGCGGCACTGACAGCAGCGCGCAGCGATTTCAAGTTTTTTTTTATTAATTTCAAATATTTTACGCAAGGCGGTACCAAATATATGAAGAGAAAGAACAGAGTAAACCTTACACGCTTCCTTTCCGTCCGCGCGTCATAGATCCGTCTATGTCCCTGCAGAAGTCAAGCGCTCGCGCGATTGCGTGTGGTTGCACGCAATTTCCACGATTGTTCTACTTAGCAATAAATAAATATCCATTAGAGTGAATTTAGATCACATGAAGTACCCGAAGCCGAAGGTCCGCTTTATGGCGTCCCAGTAATACCTGTCCCAATTCTCCTTCGTAGAGAGCTCCTCGCTGAAAATCACGACATTTTCTCTCATGAATGATCTCATTCATTAAAAGTAATAGCGATAAATTTGATCGAAAGAGTCATTGCTCTCAGGCTTACCTCACCGGGACACCGATCTGCGTTAAATTGACCTCAGTGTGATCGTTCCGTTCACAGATGTCGATCGTTACATTACTGAAATGTCCGGACGGCCACTGTTTACAACGCCACTTCTGCACAATCTTCGTTGGTGTAATCTCCAGGAATTCGCCGTGAATATTGCCACCGAAGAGCTCGAATTGACCATTCTCCTTCAGCTCTAGCTTTACCGGGTTCTTCGTGAAAGCTTGTACCATCTGTGAAAAAATTAAAGATTCTATGATCAGTAGGCTAGTGACTTAGTCTGCGCTAATAACGTCTATCTTGAAGCAATATAATTCGTTAAAATTATTACCTCGATCGTAGAGAGAACGTTGTAAAATTCTTCCGCTTTGCATTGGAATTTTATATTTTGCTTAATTGTAGTAGTTGAGATTTTACTTGCTGTTTTATTATTGTTCGTTGGTGTCACTGCAGCATTCATTTGCATCTTGAAAGAGAATAAAAAAAACATTGTTAGTTATTTTATTACTTTATAATTATTAATTATATATTACATATTTATATATGCACAAACGTAAAAAAACACACATACACACACACACACACACACACACACACACACGTATATGTATACATATATACCTTAACATTGAAACCAGATGTTATATTTGAAATATTTTCCTTTACATTATCTTTTTTGGGAAGTATCATTCCTTTCGTAAATTCTGCGAATAAAAGAAGGTGGATTACAATACTTAACTTTTTAAATATAAATGGGCAATTTATATCACACATGTTAGCAACTTAGCTTACCTTCTTTCAGGGAAGATACATATTTTTTTAATTTTTCTCTTAGTGCGTCTTTGCCTTTAGTATGTAAGAATTGTTTTATTCTCTCCCCTTCATCCGTGCTATCTTTTAATGTAACTTCAATCTGTTAATATAAATACAAAATTAATAAAAGTTACAAAATACGTATCTATTTAAATTCTTGAATAGCAATTTAATAATTATTGATTAAGAAAGATTAAAATGAAGTTAGTAAAATAGTTCAAAATAGATTTGAATCAAAATAAATTTGAAAATTGCTTAGCTCAAAATAATGAATTAACAAAATAACGAATATAATTCAATTAAAAATACTTACATCTACCTCACTGATATCATTTTCCTCAGAGAGATTAGGAATATTAATTTTACCCTCAATGTTTTCACTGGATTTTCCCTCCGATATCCATTTTAAAACAATATTCCAGTCATAAAAGAAAATAAGTTTCCCTTTCCTATTATTTGCTACCGCCTCGCCTTCACATTTTTCCATTTCTGATATTTTACATAATACTACAAATCAAATAAGATTTGTTAGGAGCATACAGTTCCAATGTATAATATAGGATACAGCGGGATAATTGGAATAGTGGAGTAATTTGGATAACAGTAAGCGTTTGCAAGAATTTCAGAAAAATAAGAGATTTTAAGATATCAGACATAGATGTTAATCAAACGTATCTTAAAATCTCTTATTTTTCTGAAATTCTTGCAAATGCTTACTGCTATCCAAATTCCCCTTACTATTCCAATTACCCCGCTGTACCCTATACATATACATACTTTTTTCAATTTCCTAACTTATAAATTATATTTATAATTTATAACCTATAATCATATTTTCTAATCTACGTTACTCACCTCCGTCTCCCTCGATTTTTAAATTTACAAGAAGTTCTTTCAACTTGTCTTGCGACCATGCACAGGCATTCTTCTCCGTCCTGCAGCAAAATTTTGCTGCGTTAAAAAATTGTGCAAAGGGTATCGACATTTTTTTTAAAGATTTAACGAGCGAATGCTACATCCTAACGCCCTACTGGGATCAAATTGTCCCAGAGGCTATATCGACTAGCGATTAATAAATCGGAGCAACATACCAATGCCAGTTATTAACATTGGTTGCATCCGGCCTCTCCTCCACAATCCAGCGTGGATCGCCCTCGCCCCACTTTGCCATGCTTCCGAGCGGTTGTCGGGGACGTTAAGCTTTCCGAGCCAAGCGCACGTGGAGCTTCCACGAGGCAAACTTCAAACTCGCAGCGCCGACAGGGACCGGGGGAGGGGTCGACGTCAAGCTTAACCTTCCAGAAAGCACGATTTTGCAACGACTGGAATTCGTCCTGCGTAACATAACCTATGCTTCAATCGGTTACGAGGCGATCGGGCGCGTCGTCGCGTCGACGTGCGTCCGAGCGAGGGTGCCGTCCGGGATTTCCAGCACGCGCGCCTTACTTACGTACGAGTCCGTCCTGCGAACTGTGCGGTTAGGCGAGCGTTCCGTTCGGGCCGCGGTTCTCTCTTCTCTCGTGACGGCTTTCGTTCGTTAAGACGTTCCCCGCAAGTGTCTCCTGTGACTTTCCGAGGCGACGCTTCGCGCGGCGGGCGAGGATTTATCACGGGGACGACGACAGGAACCCCGTTGCGCCCGAGGACAACAACGCCGATTGATAATACTGGTCGTCGTTTCGCGGATCGCCACGGGATCAGCCGCCGTGAAACGGATCTCTGAATCTGATCTGGCGTGCGCGAACTCCGCGGAGCATGACGACAGCGCCGGAGCACCACACTTCTCGAGCATTCTAGAAGCTTCGAGTGGCGCAACACCTAGATGGCGCACTCACGCGCGATTCTCAGTCTCTCACGGCGCGGCGTCGCAAATCACGCGAACAGCATAGCAGGATTTTGTCCGCGGTGATATATCAATGGAGATTATACAACTCCAAAATTGCTTGCGATCGTTAGATAATTTATACTCAACTGTGCTAATTTATCGCCTAGATTCTAAATTCTAGATTTTCCTTTATATCGTCATTATTTCTCGAGATTTATAAGAACGACGCAATGTTCGCAAAAAGAATCAATTTTTTTTTTCATTATGCGCTATCGCCTTCGTTTTTTTTCCTATTTCTCTGCTATTTTAAATCGTATCCGGAGTGAACTTTAATTAACGAGGATGCCCGCATTACCTCTTGACAAGGCAGCTGTTAAAAAAGAAAAAGACGAGGATGAATGTCGTTCAAATCGTTCGTTCATTCGCTATAGATCCGACCGAGTGCGATTTAGCGTTATAAATTGAATAATATCCATGAGAAATATAGCGGACAGTATTAATATAATCATTAATATTCCTAAGTATGTTTTCCAAGTTTTTCTTACATGATAGTTTATATTTCAACATACATTAAGAAGCGGACGATAATTTCATCTTACGTGTCTCTTACAACATCTAAACAGGACGTTCTCGAATCTCAGTTTCTGTGCTTCAAAAATTTCCAATCGGATTGGTCTTTCGAAACAATTAATGTCCATCAAAGTTTAAAAGCAGCATCGCGATTACTTGCAGCGAAACGTTCGCAGCTGGTTGTCAGACTCGAAGAGAACGAGGGGAGAGCGATTTTGTTATTTTTTTGTTTCCTATTATTTATTATAGATAAGACCATACTTGTTACAATCACGGCGAACGTTTCGCTACATCGTACCATTTTGATCTTTCCGAACAAAAAATCTATATATCCACTTACGTTAGACACTCTCGAGCGTGTAATATTCTAACGTTCTAATAAGTTCGATAAGTCTATACGAATGGTTATCGGATACGATCATGTTCGTCGTGTATCTTTGAGAGCGGCGGTTGACTCTGAAATTATTACGTTACAGATTATTGAATATTGCCAATAAAATTTTGAAAAAAACGTTTGTCTCCCTTGTGGTACCAAGTATCCACATATATTCTTCGATTTTGCCTGTTGACCCGCAAAGCTCGGGATATTCTTTAGTCTTTTATAAAAATCGTTCATAAAAAACACCGATTCTTGTTCTCAAGAATGTGCCATATTTAATTGATTCTTTTAATGCGCTAAAAATCGATACTTAATTACTAAAATTAATTGCTAAACTAAAGTGCGAGAGAGAGAGAGAGAGAGAGAGAGAGAGAGAGAAAATAAAGAATCTAATATCTATAGCCTTCTTCATGTCCGGGTCCCGCCGGTCCTGGAGCGGGATAAGTCGCGGTTCCCTCGTATCGCACCATCGGCCGATACCCGTTCTGATCGGCGATGTAATCGACGATCTGGGTCCTGCCGTCCGGCAGCAGCACGTGGTAGGTCCCGGTGGCCTCCAGGTCCTTCCTCATCTCGCGATGCCCGAAGTCCAGACCCGCTGCCGCGTCCTGGACCTCGTACGAAAACTCATAGTTCGCCGGATCCTGGTACATGTACATATTTCGGTAAGAACAACTGTGTTCACAGCGGAACCGGAAGGACATCGCGAAAATGTAGATACTACAATGTATTACACATTCCGGAGAAATAAAATATATCTCGACAGAGGATCTCTGACGATTCAAGTTATCATCTGATCGTTCTGTAGTCTAAATTTTTTTTCTTGTACGCCAAGACGAGAGATACGTATATTGCATACAATAAATATTACACATTCCAGAGAAGTAATAAATGTATCTTGATAACGGGTCTCTAATTCAAGTTATCATCTAATCGTTTTATAGACTAATTTTTTTCCATTTTTTTTACTTCGAGACGAGAGATACGTGTATTGCATATAATAAATATTGCACATTCCAGAGAAATAAAATGTATCTCGATAGCGGATCTCTAACGATTCAAGTTATCATCTGACCGTTCTATAGTCTAAATTTTTTTCCATTTCTTTTACTTCGAGACGAGAGATACGTGTATTGCATATATAATAAATACATACTTACACCGGCCCACTCGTCTGGATGACCGCCTCCTCCAGTGGGTCCAGTCCGAGGGCCGGGTGGAAGATAGGCCGGGCCTTGCGGTTCGTTCCGAACTCCTACCAGGAACATCGCCAATAGTGCCGCCTGTGTGAAAAAAAAAACGTGAATACTCGTACACCTATTTTGATGAAGAGGAGAACCTTACCCCCCTCCCCCTGAATTTAAATAAATTAACAAGATGATTTCACACCACCGATATGAACGCGTCTTGCGCACCCCGTTCAACGTAATGACATTCGATACAAATAATTCGATGAGAAATAAACAATTTAGCTATCATTAGTATTACGATAAAAGGACAATTCTTTTTTTTTTTGTTACAAGAGAGGGGTTGATTAACACGCGGCTTTATGCCGTTCGTCGAATTACACAGAAATTTAACGTATATTCTATAAATTTAACGCTTCCACGAAGCGCTTCTACTTGGTTTGTACCAACCTTCCGGATCATCAGAAATTCGGTAAAATTGTACGAGCGTCCGCGAAACTGAGATGGCTCATCTCGACGGACACGGTTTTATAGCGACCAATTCAGTTCTCGACGGGACGACGAGATTCGAGTACGCAATATACGTACTTATTATTCGGGGAGTTTTAATGCGATCGCATAACCGTAATTACGACTAATAATAAAACCGCAGGTCTCTGCGACGGCACTAATCATTCGTTCGGTATAATCGCAACGGTTCCTGATTCTGTGCAATTTTCGACGTACAAATCCCAGTGTCTCTACCTCTAATAGTGTTAGTTACATTCTGAAAAGATTTGTAACAATTACAGATGTCTAGAACATATATGTCTCATGTTCTCAAAATCGGATTATCGTAACTCCAAAAAAATTCCAAGATATTACGTTATGACGCGATAAAACGTTATGAAACAAAATTTACTACAACAGACAAATGTCATTTGCTTGTCGATATAAATTCACGTATTGTTAATAGATCAATAAGGCGTGCGGATATAGTTCGTTAACTCGACGTGAGAAACGCGTTTGGCAATATCCCACGAAGGATTCGTTAGCGGATTCGCTATAGAGAGATGGAGGCTACCCTGGCTACCGTATAATTTGCACGAAAGCCTTACTCAAGAGACACGAGATAACAATAATAAGTTAGATTAATAGTTCTCCTTTCTTCCTTACGTCACTGTCCCTTCCCGTAGGCAAACACGTCGAGTCGCAAGACTTAAACGACGTGTCGCAAGATATCGTAATAGATATCACGATTTTGTCAAATTGCAACAAACAACGCGACTTCGGAGCGGCATTTTACTTTGCATTAATTCACTTACAATTAGTTAAAGAGGGAGGCGGTTTACGTTAGATAATAGGTCTTCCAGCTTCGCAGCATAAACGTATAATTCCTAAAAAATAAAAATTAAGCATATAATTTTCTAAAATTTTATAAATTAATAAGAGAGAGAGAGAGAGAATAAATTAAAGTTTAAAACATTGTCGAAATATTTTTTTAACGTCGTAGAATCTAATGGATATTATAACGCTCGTGAAATATGCACTAGGAAACCGCACTAGGAAAGCTCATGACACATAAAAAAACGTAAAGCAGTAAGACGTAAACAACAAGGTACCGTGAATTCGGTGAATTGGCCATTCACAGTAGAAAACGTAAAATTATTGTCTTACGTTTACTACTGTCCACGTCTTACTACTTAATGTTTTTCTACGTGTTATGGGCCGTTCAACGTCGCGCGCTGCGGGGAGAGGCGCAGCTGTGTTTTGGTCGCGCGCTATGAAGCCGTTTTTTGCACGCGCTCGCGCGCTATGCATTGTGCCAGGCACATTCCAAAACAATTCCTAGAACTGCAGATGCGCCGTAAAGCGAGGAGATTTCGTGGAACCGAGCGTTTTTTTTAATTCCGCGGCCGAGCGAGCGATCGTGTTTCAACATCGTTTAGATAACTCATTCGTTTTTCGATTGACAATTTATTATCGTACGCTGATGGCAATACGCGTGCGTGCAGTAAATATATATTTTTACTTCTCCAAAATATAAAACTTGACGAATCGCATAGTGATCGTCGCTGTAAAAGTTATAGACGCGAATGATTAAAATCGACGAGAGAAAGAGAAAGAAAGAATTATGCGCGTATTTCTTATTTCATGAGAATGAAAGCGAACACGTTCTTACCGTTGGGCGTTGAAAAATATATTTATGAGCGTATTCATCATTATTTCCACACGAATAGAAATTCTTTACATATGTATGCGTGTATATTTATTACTTACACTGTATGTATAAGTAAGAAATTCATATTTACGATGCTGAATTTACTCCGCGCGAAACGTTCGTCCGTTCGCGCGCGAGGCAACTACGCAATGCCCGGGATAGAAGCGGAGCTGGGCCAGCGGGGCGCGGAGCACGGAGCGCCCGGCGGCTGGCGGCGATGGCGCAGGCGCGCGCCGCCGCGCCGGGCGCTCCGCGGTGAGGAGTGGGGAGCGCTCCCGTCCCGCTCACGGCTCAGTTCAGTTTGTAGTTGCCTCGCTTGCGGATGGACGTATTGCTTCGCGCGGCAACTCTTATCGTTTCGCCGGTGCGATTTCGCGAATCTAATCCTATCCAGGATTAGACACACTCGACTACTACAGTGAACGCGAGTGACTGCGCGAACGAGGAATTTCCGGAGTGAGTCGAGTGTGCGGCTAAGTACATTCGAATTTTCGCCGGCGCCGGCGCGCGATCGTGTCGCCGCGCCATCACCTTTTTTGAACGCGTCCGATGACGAGATTCGGGAACGCCGTTCGCCTTCGTTCTCTCGTGATAAACACGCGCGTGAGTCTTCTCCTATGGTGATTCTTGTCGAATCGAGTGGCAGGCGTCAATCGGCATGGATGTGGCGACGCGCGAATGCACGGATTTCATGTTCAAGAGTCGCGAAATGTACGCGCGCGAACGCACGAACTTTTCCGTGGGCGCCGCCGCCATTTCGTGGTCGTCCCACCGATCGTCGCGCCGTCGACGCAGTTGCCTCTTCGAATTTCGATGCTGAGTCTATTATACGTGCGCGTCGAAATTTTCATAAGAATCTCAACGCTGTCGGTAGTGGTAAAGGAATATTTCAACCGTATGTGTCGCAAAATAAATTGAAGAGAATTTTTCCGAGTCCGATCACGGCTGCTCCGAGGGCCCGTGTCGCGTACATCGCGATCCGCGATCGCCCGAGATAATTTCTGGAAAACGCGAATCTCGAGTGCCGGATTACACTCTTCCGCGTGTGTTGTTTCTGCGAAACGAAAATAAATCTTGCGACGATGCGCGACGATGCTGCAGCCGGACAACAGAAGTGATTTTGGAGAGCGTCTGTAGATAACGAAGGATTCTGAGAAGGCTGGACAACGAGGTTCTTGAGATCGACTGCCGGACAACAGGCGACGAGCCACAGCCACAGTCGGTACAAGGTAAGTCATTGCGATGATATTAATTTTATTCGTCGATGCGTCGATTCTCTTTGCCAACGGGCCCTGATTTTTGCGAACGTTATGGTTGATAATTTAGGATCGTTCACGACGGTATAACTCTCACAAACACAGTAATTCATACGCGATTCGCAGCAAAGTGTCGATATAACGTCGTTGGTAGTGATAAAAAAATATTTCAACCATATGTATCGCAAAATAAATTGAAGAGAATTTTTTCGAGTCCGACGACCCGTGTCGCGTCGCAATCTGCGATCGCCTAAGACAATTTTTGAAAATCAGCGGAAATCGTAAATTTCGAGTCCTGGTTATACACTCTTCCGCGTATATTGTTTCCGCGAAACGAAAATAAAAAGTTTGCAGCGATTTTCTTTAGAATAAGCCGGCACGGCAGCGCGATCGTGTTGCGTACTTTTTTTGAACGCGTCCGACGACAAAAACACATTTGCCTTCGTTCTCAGGAAAAAAATCTGGCACGTGAATATCTTCCTGTAGTGATTATTGTCGAATCGAGCACCAGCGGAAACGTCAATTAAGTAATTCTTTATTTGTCAATACGTCGATTCTCTTTGCGAAGCATCATTTAAATAATTCTTTAATTATTTCCTGAAATAACAAGATATCTCGATTTATTTTTGCAAGAATGATGAAATAATGCATGCGTTTTAAATTAAAAAATATTACAAATTAATAGATATACATGTTAATTAAATATTTAAATTCTTAATTTGGTTTATTTCTTAATTCGCCGTAATTTTTCATGGTCACTTTTTATTATGTCTGTGAACCTAGCTTCTCCACCTATTAAAAGACAAGTTCAACTACATGCTATGATTATTGATTTCACTTAAACTACGAGCAATAAATTCGGAATTGCGAATATTTTAAGAAGAATTAATTCTAAAATTTTAAAAGTAGCACAGCAACTAATTTGTGTAATACATATAACTTAACTCTTGTAGCTTTTCGTTTTTGATAATTTTTAAACTATTTCGTGAGCAATGAATTCCAAAGTACATAACAAGTTTCTTGAGTATTTGATTCGAAGAACAGTTTAGGAAAACTTATATAATTAGTTTCTTATTTTTTATTATTTTAATCTTGTACTGTTATAGTAATCGATATCCATAATTCAAAAATTTAATATTTCTTTGCACTATCTTGGAACAAAAACATTTTGGTATATTTGTTTTTTTTTGTTTACAGTACTCTGTATGTACTTTTCGGAAGTGGAAGTATGTAACGTAAAATTAGCACCTCTACTTTTGATATTTATTTCCTGAATGAATAGGAGTAATAAATTCGAGATTAGGATAATAAATTAGCACTTAATTATGGCATATATTAGAATTTTTTTATTGATAGAGGTGCTAGGTTCACAGACGTTTTTTTTTCTTTCTAAAAATAAGAATGAATTTATCTTGAGAAAAAAATTGCAATATTTCTTTGCTCTCATTAGCCGATTCTATTGCTAGTAGATATTTATTTCAAATAAAAATATATTCTTTTTCTTATTAAGTTAATTCCTTTAAATAATCGAAGAAAAATTGAAGTAGGCTGAGACAAAGCTTGAAATAATTGTTGAAACTCGAGTTGACCGTATCATTTATTGTTACGGCATATTTATTGTTACAAAACATCTACACATTCCTTCTCTGCACAAGAAAAAAACTTAAAATACACACCTAATGGATTATAAAATTAAAAAGTCAATAAAGTAGTGACTGTGCTAATGCGGATATCTTTGGTTTCTCCGACAATTGAATTTCTCTCGCATCTCACTCTTTTTATTTAATTCTATATTATAATTATGGGATTATTGTGCGTTTATTATATTTAGATTTTGTAGTTAATTCTAATTAATAATACCCTTCGCAATTCTTTGGCATACACTCGGGACTATAGATCTTGGTTAAACAGCAAATAGAACGGAAGAATTCTTCCTGTGCTGATTTCACTGCTTGTGCGATCAGTTTTACGTCCGTTATGCAACGTGAATGCTCGATGTATACATACATATATACAAGATGTAATTTTAAATAACGCCCACTAATTATGTAGCGTTATTTCTCGTAAAAAACTGAATCGAAAAGTCGTGAATTATTTTTTTTCTACTCAATAAAGTGATCACTACTGCAATAATTACTGTTTTATTAAGCATTGAAAGAAAAAAGGACTTGTCGACTCAATTTCAATAAGAAATAATGCTATATAATTAGTGGGCATTATTTAAGATACACCTTGCATATCTTTCGATCGTTTTTTTTATAAGATTACGCTAGCTGCTTGCTATTTGCTGTCTGCTGTTTGTATAAATTAACTATACGTGTTGAGTATAAAATACATTCCGATATCACGTATCACTGACGTTAGCGGAGTACAGTCGACAGATCTGTACAAGCTTTCTCGATTTGATCGAATATTTGGCGGATAAGCATTTAGTGAATCTTTGGCAATTCTATACTCTGGCTGTACTAAAAAATTCATTGCCAGTGCTGAAAATCTAATATAGATTGCTATATGCACTGTAGATTTTCGCTGGCAGTGAATTCTCGAACACGGCCTTTGTCTGTCCTTAACGAACGGTGACAAAAGATAAGCACGTGTGATTGAGAAGAAATTAACTACTTAATAATAATTACCTAATTCTATCGTAGATAGAGGCAAATTTATTTTACTTGAATTTTAATTAAGTTTAATTTTGTTTTATCATAGAATAGAGGCAAATGTAATTTAAAATGTTTAGATATAATCTCGAACGCAGATAATTCGTACTAACGCTACAGTTTCGAAAATTTTAATGCATCGAGAAATTTGAAGTCGTACGAAATATCGTACAGATCTCTCGGGAGGGTAAACCCCATATCCCAGATGTACATTCCGCGAGTGATCTACGCTTCAAACGTCTATAATACTGTTACGTTTCTTCTCCACGTCCGCGGAATCGAGATCATTGCCGAGGCTACCCACGCGACCTCGTAGTCCGCCGCCGCCGACCTGACCAGTCGCTTTGAGTTTCTCTTGCATCTGCGCCAAGATATCTTGCATCCTTCGTATCTGCGAACACGAGTTGACGATAGCGAGCGATGAGAAAAAAAAAAACATTTTTGTGAAAATTGAATTGAAAATTAACTTCTTCAGAGACATGTAATAATATTAAAATATTAAAAAAAAACATTAATTATCTTAACACTTAATATCGAAATATTTATGTCAAGCAGCGTCTATAATGAGACTTAAGACTTAAGAAAATTGGTGAATCATAGTCGATTATTCATCTCAGGTGAGAAAAATAATTGATTGTGATTAATCAATTTTCTTAAATCTTAAGTCTCATTGACACCGCTTTACTTAGAATAGTACGAAAATTGTTTTTTTTTTTACTTTAAAAGTTTATCTCTGAAAAAGTCGAATTGCATTAAACATTGCGTGCTCACCTCCTCATCTTTCTGCAAAAGAAGCCTGTCCGTGTCGGATATACTGTTCTCGAAGTGCGGTCCGGAATCTCTTTTCAGTTTGCTGTACAAAAGAAACGGATTTTTTATTCTCGATTATTCAAAAGTTGAACACTACAAGTAATATATCAAATGCAATCGAAGCACGAGTTATATGTCAAAGCAAAGAGTATCGTGCAATTCTGCAAAAGAATCATTTTAACAAAGTTCTTCAATTTTTCCTGGACGACAGAATCGATATAAAACTATTCTCCACTAAATTACTGAATTAATATAATATCATACCGTTAGGATCATCAAAACTATTGCTGGCAGATGCTTTTAATAATCATGCAAAGCGTACAGGACATTCGAAAGGATATCAAGCACTTTAAGGAGCCAGTATTATTAATAAATTATTATTTTGTAACTTGAAGAAAAAGCTTTTGAAATGCACGACTAGAGTAAAGATTCCGATTTAATTATTCCGAACGCGGTTCTCTCGAAGTGTCCCGTACGCATTGCGAACGCGCGATAAGCGTTCGTATGTATAATACCTACTGAAATGCAATATTTATTTACATGCGTAAATACCTCCGTTCCCGGATCGCTTGCTGCGAAATTTGAGAAATACATTGGGCCCGAAAGTTCTCATAGTGAACGTCTTGCGTGACGTCCTTTAGATCCTGCATGTGCGTCGATATTAGCATCGTCCTTAGTTTGACGAAGTCACTGTGCTTCGGGTTCTCGACTATTGATCAACCAGAATCGACATGTTAAAGATCAAACACGCGATAAGCCAGAGGTTATATTTTAATGCATTCAATCCCTATCTGCTTTCGAATATACGTTAATTTATTTTGCCTCGCGCAGAAGGCTTAAGCTTCGAGAGCTCTTTCATCGATTAAATTCCTAATTGTTTTTGTGATTCGGCTTCTGCTTAACAACTCTAACTCTTGAAATATCGATATTCTTGTAAAAGAGGGCATCGAGTATATTAAATCTCTGTTCTGAATCGACAATTCCTTTGATATATCACTGCACCGAAGTGCACTCTCAATTCAAATGATGGTCGTTAGCGGAGATTAATCTAATAGCGATACTCGAAATAACATATATTCCTTTGGCTAGATCAGGCAAATTTCGTTGGGAACGTGATACGATCAATCGCGCAAATTTTTCCGAAATATTTAAAAAGTAAAAAATTTTATTTTTCAACGTTATACTTACCTCGTAGCTCACGAGTGAAATCGGAAAATATTAATTTTATGTAGAATATAAAAGTTCACCTTCCACTACGCCCCACGGATATTGTCTTCCTCGGACTTTCCTTCCGGCGACCTCCAGCACCGTCGAACTGCCGACGACCGCGAACGGTATACAGGCTTTCAGCTCCTTATCCTGCTGCTTGAATTCTTCATCCTCGTCGCTGTCGCAATCCGGGAATTGATATATCTGGGAAAATACGAAAATTATTATTTACCTAGTGTATGATACTAAATGAGCAATAATTCAATATATGTCGGGACAATTAATTTCGTGTTATTTTACATAAAATAAAGCTAAAGAAATATTTGCACTCTACCTGAATCTCGTGTTCCTCGATGTCCGCCAAAATGCGCTCCTTCAGCTTTTTCACCTCGTGAGTCGTTAAAGTATCCGCTTTCGCTATTACGGGAACGACGTTAACTTTTCGATGTAAGCGCCTTAGCACCTCGAGATCAATCTGCCTCAGGCTGTAAAGAAAAAAACAGATATTAAAGTTGAGATTGTAATTGAATCTAACGTTATAATAATTGCGATCGATATTACCGCGAGATAAAAATTATTTTTGATCCTATAACATTTTTTTTTTAAATATGTTTATAAGATTGGATTATCACATACCCGTGGCCGTACGGTGGTATAAAGTACAGACAACAGTGTACCCTGTTATCTTGAATATTTTTCCTATTTAATCCGCTTTCGTCCGTGAAATATTGGCGGAATTGCTCGTCGATGTAAGCCGAGCACGCTTTCCACGTGTCCTCGCAATTTACCGCATCGCCGAATCCTTAAACGGTATTGTTACTTGTATAGAATTACTTTATAAAATCGTGTCATTTCACAAAAAAAAATTAATGTCGTCATTTACGCAAACAATTTTATGAATTAACCGCTAATTGATTGAACGTATCTACTGGCAAATTGAATGCGTTAAAAGCTCGTTCAACATGGAAAAAGAAATAATTCGGCGACACTTCTCACCTGGCGTATCTACGATCGTTAAGCGGAGCCGAACGCCACGCTCCTCTATATCCATTGTCTTTTTCTCGATAGAAGTGGTCTTAGCCACCCGTTCTGAAAGTGAACGATGAATATTTATCGTCTTCTCGTCGAGATCGCGCGATTTATTGACGATGTAAGCTGAACAAATATTTTTCACGTGTCAACAACTCGCGGAGAGCATGCGGGAGATTTTAGAGAGCAGCGACCGATCCCGTAACGCTGCATCTCTCCCCTCCCTCCTCTCCCTCTCCGTCGCGATGAAACTGTATCATTGTCATTTCGACCGCGCGTAATTTCAATCGAGAGGGGATTAACAGATTCGACAAAGATATTCTAGTTATTGGGGAGACGTCGTGTTTACGTGTCAAACCGAAATAAAAATCATACGCACCCGCCGCATCCGGAATCCGCCGGTCTTTGTACAGGTCCCCGAGGAAGAGGCTGTTTATGAGCGTCGACTTGCCGAGACCGGTCTCACCCAACACCATCAGCGTGAATTCGAAGCCTCTCTTCACCGACTTCCGGTGCACTTGCTCCGGCAGCGTCGCGAAGCCGATATAATCCCTGTCTTACTTGTGAGCGAAACGAACGGTCATTAATGTCGCGGTATCGACATCTAAAGTGTTTTGGCACAAAAACAGGCACTCAACTGCTAATAAAGCGCGTTGCACGTCCAAATACAAGATTTCGAATACAATAGATTACGTGCGTCGCGAATGCGTTTTGGTTTTGTGCGACTGCTGACTCATTGACTGTCGTAAAACGCAGCGTGTTATATTCCACGGCGTCAATGCGTCCGCGAATATCGCGTTTGTGCGTAAAATTTACATCACCTCTACGCGGAGAGCGAGCCGAGGTTTCCCGACTCGGGAGAAGAAAAAAAAAGACAGAATTTCGTAGCGGCCCGTTGAGCGCATGCGATAATTTTTACTTTCAATAAAACGTTTACGTACCACCGGACATTATGGCAGCATCTAAGGGCGCACCCGTGCGACGAGCATAACGGCAGCCAAATGTCGACCAAACGCACTAAGGGACCGAGGGTGGCTCGCGCCTCATGAATGCCTCTCTCCGTCCGGCCTGTGCGGCCTCGACTTGCGCTGGCGCACTGTCGACCGACCGATCAATAGTCGGTCGTGCTCCTATGATGCATTCTTCCGGGCTGCACGCCGCGCTGCGAAGAGGTTAAGCCCGAGAGAGCCGGGCGCGTGTGTTGCGCGCAGAATAAATAGCAATGTTATCAACGCCCGACGCGTCCCGCTAATGGTTATAGACGGAAGAACGGAATTGATTGTCCGACATCTGTTAAGCCTGACCGATGACGCGATGCTGCGGCCGGCGGCGGCTTCACGCAGCGATCGCGCTGCATCACGTTCACGCCCGGCAAAATGTGATACGGCGTTTATGAAAAAAAAAAATATATATATAAATAAAACTGTCACGGCGGTCCCTTATCGTCACATAGCGTGCGCGTCGATCGGAGAGATTAGATTGAGTTCCTCGAAGAGGCATTAACGAGATAGCTATAAGTCGTCCCCTCCTGATAGTATTTCTTACGGTGTCATTAACGATGCTTTCAACCAATGCTTTTGCAGATAATTCATTTGTACAAACGTATAAACATTAAATTAAATACTCCGCGCGTTTAGCGTAATTTCAAGTCTCCGCGAGAACATGACGAACTTACGGATTTACTGGATTTGCCAACAATTGCCCGTAATCATTCATAATGGCCTGTAAAAGCGCGTGATGACATTAGATTTATTTTTACTATATTATTTGTTATAATTATTTATTATTTTTTTAATTTTTATGTTGAAATCTTTTATCACAATAATATGAGCAATAAATATTTGATAAAATAACCATGGTAACTTTTTAACTTTCTTGTTATTAACAATACAAATATGTATAAAATTGTGTCACAATATGCTTTTTCTAGTCTGTCGTAGATAAAAAATGAGTATAAAAAGGTACATATTTGCTACAGAAAATTCCAATGATATATATACAATTTATATAATTTTATATATTCGTCACATTTTTATGTCATTCAAACATAAATACACATATCTAGTGTATGCGCGCTTTTCTACAAATTTATTATACTGAAATTTTATAGCTTTCAGGCTAAAAAATTCCTGTAAAGCGTCGCACTTTCTGTCCTCGTAGACATAGATTAAAATTGTAAAAATTGTTGTTGGCCGATGGTATCCTCTCCACTTCTCAGTCGGGCTTCTTCCAGTCAGATCCTCGTACAACCAGTGGCAGCACCGACATTTGTCATATAATTATCAAAGAAAAAAATCGGATAAAATGTTGGTAGGACACTTTTCTGACTTTCTTTGTGACACATGTGGATCGATCGTGGAATGATTTGTAACGATCTACAAATCGATGAGCTTGAATCGTAATGGTGTCACCAATGTATTTATCATTCGGTTTTCGTACTCGAGCGATCCGTGATGCCATTCGATTCGAAAATTTCGTATGATCTAAATATAAAACAAAAAGCATAGATGAATATGTACACGAGTATTAACCGGAATTAAAAATTGTCATTTCTGTTCACATTAAACTTATCATTTATTGGTAACAGACGGATTTGTTAACTGATTGCTATGCGAAAGTTTATCTTATCGGTCAAGATTTGAACGTATTAATTTTTCAAAATGTCTTAACCGATTTGACCGTAAAATTTAGGTCACAGTCGTGGTATTCATGGCGTTTTCGGCACTGTTATCCTAACGTTACCCACCGAAACGGTATTTCGAATCTGATTATCGTTATTCGATCGACTGAATCTGGCAATAGAATTACTCATTCAGCAGGACGAGCAAGTTTACATACTGTTAACAGCAACGTCTCCATCTCCATTTCGGCCAATCGCCGGCCGATGCAGGTGCGGGGGCCGTATCCGAATGGCATACTCGCAAAGGGATGCGCCTCCTTGGCTGATGGGAACTCGGTGTTGTCCCGCAACCATCTCTCGGGAATATATTCTTGCGTTCGTGAAAACTGCCTGGGATCTTGCGCGATCAGAGAATGACAAGCGAGGACGTTGAACTGATGGCATAGAAAAAAAATAGAAAAAAATAGAGAACGCGATTTTATTAATGCAGCTTGTTTCGCGACATGCATAAATGTGCCCGATAAATTTATAAATTCTTTGTGTAATTTAGAGTGAATTTTTCTCTTTAACAATGCTGAAATATATTGATTGTTTAATTAAATGAACGAATGGAAATAATTTTTTGTGAATTAATCAAACATAAGATATAAATATATTATAATCATTAATTAGATATTGATATCAAATTAAATATCGAATTAAAAATAAAGGAAACGCCACGCACCCCTGCCGGTATTCTGTATCCTCCTATACAAACGTCTGTTTGCATAGTTCTGAGAACGACTAGAGTGATGGAGAAGAATCGAAGGGATTCCTTGATGCAGGCTTTAGCGTATCTCGTTTGATCTAGGATTTTCGGCGTAACGCGCGATGTTTTGTCCGGTAACACGGACATTACTTCTTCCCGCAATTTTTCTTGTTTCTCTGGATTATTCGCTATATAGTATAATAAACCGCCGAATACGTTGCCAGTCTGTAATAGATTATTTCAATCTTGTCTTTTTTTTTTAGAATTTTAATATGATTAATAGAATTCTTTCTTATGTTCAAAATATTTCTGATGCATTTAAACAAATTTTTGCGGTTAAATATATGAGAAATAGAGATTTATAGGATATCAGCGTCACATTAAAAAAGAAATTATCATTTAATCTCTGATTAAAATAAAATCAGAATCATTATCTTATATATTTATCCTTTTATTATTATATAATTTTTTTCGGAAAAACAATTTTGTTTGCATAAGATCGAGCTATTAAAATTATTTTGAAGAGTTAAAATCTCGTAATTACCGTATCGACACCAGCCATTAGACTATCGAGCGCCACTATTTGTGCCGTGTGCTTGTCAATGCGTAAAAGTTTCTCTAATATCCTATGGTCACGCTGATTTGTGCTATTGTCCATTGTTTCATACTTAGTCTTAGCCCGCTCGACGTGTTTATTAGCAATTCTAAAAGAGATTGTAAATAGAATTGCACAAATACGCTGGCGATGAGTCGTTTTGAAACTGCAGAATGAATTATGCGCAAACGAAACGTAGAGGTATCGGTAGAACAGTAAACTATTAAATTTTAAAACAGTATAATATTAAATTGTATTCTAAAGTAATTAACATGCGACGACACACGACACATTTATTGATAACTAACTTCGTGACACGAGAATGTCGACGTATATTGATAATAGTAATAACGACGTGAAGTAATAAATACGCGGTTTTCGCGTGGGAGTTTCGGAATAATATGTAGTTATAGTATAACCAGTATGAATTTCAATATTTACTCATAAACCGTATCCAACACACGGAATAACTTCTTGAGATTGGGCGTATTGTATATCTTCCACAGAGACGTCTGCATTTCCATGCGGTATATCGTATCGAACATCTCTCTCAAGCCATTTATCATTATTTGCGGGTCCGAGTCCGCAGCAAGATTCGGCTTCAAGCATCCTAGCCGGCAGTCCATCGCGGTTGAACATATTGCTGTTAATTATATACAGTAAAATGATTACATGAATTTTAATTTTAATATAGAGTAATGTTATTTTTAACTTTCAGTCGTATCTCTCTCTTGTTTTATCGTTGATAAATACATTACGATGTATTCAAATGTACAGTCGTGGACAGTTGCGCTTTTTTTCATAGGTTTTTAGTATATATTTTATAGGTAATTAATATTTTGCAAATGCGAAACATGATGGTGTACTATCTTTAATTTATTGACAGTATATACCAATCGTGGTTTGCATTTGCAAAATATTAGTGCGTTTCGAAACCTATTAAAACAAAAAGTGTCGCAACCGATATGTCCACGACTATACAGGGTGTCCGGTAATAACCGGATAATATCTCGTGGGCTGATAGAGCAGATTAAACTGGATCGAAAAGTCCTCTATCATTTTGCAAAATTCGCAATCGTTAACGAGATATTAA